TCGAGATATATGCCAATGAAAAAATGTCACAAAACTTTTGTAACACTCGGCATACAATGTATTCTCTACATGTAGACACTTACTGAACTGCACATTGGTTACAAATATATTGGATATGAAGGAAATCTTGTTACTAATAAAAATTTACAAAATAAATGGTGATATTGATTTACTCTCTCTCTCTCATCTGTTTCATATTTTCTTTTTTTCTTTTAGATACTATAAAAGATCAATATAATTCCTTTGAAACTAACATTTTTTTTCTATACTGAATGTATCAAACAAATACATGTAATTATCTTATATTTTGAATAGATTGTTATCTTTTTGATTATTCATTGAAAATAAATATCAAACGATAATATATTCATCAGAAAGATCTTGTTTTATCATGAAATATATATATTGTACTTATTAAGAGATAAGAATTTTAATTTGAAAATAAAAGTAATGAAAATCTTGAAAAATATCATAATAGCCATAAGTTCGATCAAGTATAGAATTCGCTCTATATAGATTTATTCAATTTTATTCTGCTATGCTATAATTTATAGAGCCCGATAAATTAAAATAAGAAATTATTTATTACTCGTGCTTTTTTATTCAATTTTTATAAAACCTGACGAAAATCTTTAATGGCACCCAAAATACTCGATCTGTTAAGAATTTTTTTCATACGAAATATCTATTATATGATTATATAAACTGTAATAAATCTTAATGTTGAAACATTCTTCTCACTTTTAATGATATACTTCGTTGGTCTATAGCATTATCATGTTGTTAACGACAAAAAATCATTTCATCCAGTTTCAGACTGCCTAATATATTGAACTCTCTGTTAGACATTAAGTGCATTCCTTAGTTTTTGTCTGCATTCATACATTGTACTCTATATCCTACGTCCTCTACAAATCGCAGTAATTCTATTCAAATCTCTCATTACTTTTGAAAATATTTTCATGATCTTCTATAAAACTTATTATTTATTTAGTCAATTTGAAGACAAACGAAAATTTGAATATAATAGGTATAGGAGTATGCAAACGAAGAAGAATATAATTTATCATGTAAACTTTATTTGATTGTAAAGAGAATGAAAAACTTACACGAGCTGCATAGTGGGACAACGATTTTTGCTTTCTATACTTTAACATCGGTTAAAGGTGAATTTTACGAAGAAAAGGAAGATAAAAACAAAGCATGTGATAAACTACACCTTCTCCATCAGAAAACTTCTTTTTCTTTCAAAAGAACATAAAAATTAACACGATGCAGAACAACGATATTGATACTAATTTAACTGTTTTAATTCGTACACTTCATCCAACAAAAAGTGAAATAGAACAATGTTGCAATATAACACGTAGTGTATGTAAAGAATATGGACGGTCTGAAGAAATGATCAATAAGTATATGATCGAACAAGATATGAGTGATATCGAAGAAAATTATTTAAAACTACCACGAAGTCATTGGTGGGTAGCAGTCACTGGTGAACATATTATCGGTCAAGTTGGTCTTCAACCAATGTCTGTAGGTGATAGAGAATTGTACAATAAATTAGCATTGGATGATAGTTTACGATTTTACAAGGATATTCATCCGGACGAAATTTGTGAATTAAGACGAATGGCTGTACTATCCGAATATCAAAATCAACACATTGGTCGAAAACTACTACAGACACTTATTGACTTTGCACGTAAACAAGACTATAAAGTCATTCATTTAACTACAGGTATTGTTATGAACCAAGCTTGTAGTTTTTATGAACGATGCGGTTTTAAACATGGTCAAATGTTTCGTTATACTATAGACATCAATGAATTAATTAGTAAAGATAAGATGAGTATTGCTGTTGACGGCAAGAAGATAGATAAAATGACGACATTCTTCGGTACACCAGTCGTGTTCAATACTTTGAATGACTTAACTGATGATGATTGGGAACAAATTAATCAACCGAAGATGATATTACAAATGAAATCGAAATATTTTTATGTACAAAATTTTTGGATGAAATTGTAGTATACCTTATACACTTTGGCGAAGACTTCCTTTCTAGAGCTTTATAGCTTTTTAAACATTTATGTAGAACACTTCGTTTTCGAATTGTACTGCACGGCTAAGTTGATTCTTTACAATGAAAGTTTATTTTACTCATATTTAGAAGAAATACAAAACTGAAGAGGAGTATTTTTCAGAATAAACCTAGAATGACACAGTGGACTTCAAAGCTTCAAAAGATTTCAAAGATTTCAGAACAGTTCAAGAGACTTCATAAAATTGAGGATGTGGGTGTAGGTGAATGCTCAGTAATATAATTACACTCACCCACACCCACACCCTTTCACATGTATAAAATCAACATTGACGTACAATCTTGAAGAAAAATACATTGTTGACGATCATACGTCGGTGTACGTCATACTTTATTTTCTTCAACTGAATGTGACGTAGATTTCTGTTGAATATAAAAGAATGAAAAAAATGAACTCATATTTTATAACAGTTTTTATTGCAATATCTACACTAATTACATATCAAAATCAATTATTCAAAACAAAAGTCGTGGTAATTCTGTTGACTTATTTTATTTCATTGAATAATGAATCCAATGGATGTTGTTCCTATAAATCTCAACGCAATTAATATACCACGAGTGCCAGGTATATAGGATATTTCTTTTTTTAAAATTTCTTGTTAATATATTTTTCGTTTGCTTCAAAAAATTAGCTGTTTGGTTTAGTAAAGAATTTGATTGAACTTATCCTCAACGTCTAAAAGGAATAATTACACCCAATGAATTTCAAGAATTAATTCAAAATATTAATAAGAAACTCTCATCTAAAAAAACATTGATTATTCTCTTAATTCCTGTTTTAATTGAAATTGTAAGTATTGCATTATTTGTTGTTGGTGCAGTATTATCTGAACGTATTGGTAGCACAATATCTCGTATACTAATTTACGATGGAATAGGAATTACTATTTTGGCAATCATCTGCTTTTTCATTGTAATTTCTTTTGCACAATCACGACGTCCAGTCGAGATGCGACAAGCAATTGAAAGTGAATCGATTAAATATTCTACACGATCAACAAAACCATGTAGTTGGCATTTGAATACTACTAGATATTATGGAGAAATGTATAAAGGTTATCGACAAATTAGAGTCGTCACCAGTGTAAGTATCTTTGTTTCATATTAGAAATACTTAATAGATATTGATTAATCTTGAAAGTCCTGACGTTCCAACAAATCAAAATATATAGTCACAATTCAATCCAACAGCTCCTCAATTGCCATCATCTTTTAATCAACAAAATATTCTATTCAAACAGATGAAAGATTTTGTCCACAGTGTAGAACACCACGACACAATCCAAAAGCAAAACTTTGTTCATTCTGTCGTCGAGCATTTTAAATATAATAAAATCTATTCGACAAAAAAAAATGAATCTTTATATATTTTTATTATTTTCAACAAAATAAATGGTGATATTGATTTTGCTCTCTCTCATCTATCTCATTTTTGGATAAGATATTGTATTTTTTATTATCATTATCGACGAATAAGTAAAAAATGAATCTATGATTTACAGTTGCTTATAACTCAAACATTTCTACCTACGCCACTGTTATTACTCATAAGTTTGTTCTTCACACACACACCCACACCTTATCGAATGAGTCATAACATCAGTAATGAATATATAACCTGCTGAATAAGCAATTCATATTTACCATTAAATACATACAATGTTAACAGTATAGTTGATTTGTTTAGAGAACGAACGAAAGAAAAATTTCTTTTCATACACATGTCATTACCAAAAAGTATTACAAAACAAAGGTAGTTACATTAAAAAAAAGTAGTGAAAAACACATTTTTCGATTTATCATTTAGCATGGAACTAGTGAAAGTATTACCATCCATTTTTAAAGCAGCTAAGACTATTTATGACATCAGCAAGCAAGTCAAGGCTAACAAAAATCAATGTCAACGTAAGTATTTTTTTTTCAAATATTTTCATATTTCTTTATCGTAATATTATTCATAGGTTTGAGTGAACGAGTACAATGTGTTGTTGCTATTCTTAAAGATGGTTCATTAGACGATTCAAATATAGCATCAATGGAAACAGCATTGCGAAGTTTAGAAGAAACATTGCAAGAAAGTGTCAATTTTGTACAAGAATTTACTGATAGTTCTATAATCAGTCGAATTTTACACAATTCTGATCATCAAGACAAATTCGAAGAACTTACTACACGATTATCATATAATGCAATTGATCTTCATTTAGCCTTAAATATTAATTCGATATTTGATCAACAACAAGATATATTCGATCGTCAAGCAGATCTTGCTGAAATATCATCTAAAATTGATGAACTTGCTTTGGAAATGGTTAAACAACAAGAAGTAACACTTAAACAAAATAAGAATATAAAAGATGAATTTAAAAAACGATTTGATTCATTCAAATATAATCTTCGTCAAGATATACTTAAGGCTCAAAAAGGTATTGAAGCAAAAATAATTGAAGAAGAATCGAAACTTTTTCTACATATCCCATATCATGATTTATTATTTGAAGAACAAATTGGTCAAGGAGGTTTTGCTGATGTTTATAAGGGTCAATGGCTTAGTCAACATCATCAAGTAGCTATTAAAACAATTCGTATTACCTATTTAACAGATAATATAAAACAAAGTGTACTAAATGAAATTGCTACTATGTATAAGATTCGTTATAATCATGTACTTGGTGTTTTTGGAGCTTGTATAGAACCAAATAATTATGCACTTGTTCTTGAATATATGTCACTTGGATCATTATTTGATGTATTACAAAAAAATGAACATATTAATTCTTGGGAAGATCGTTGGTCAATTGCATTACAGATGGCGAAAGGTGTTAATTATTTACATTCTATGTCAATTCTTCATTGTGATATTAAATCGTTAAATTTTCTTATGGAAAAAGCAATTGATGGTTATCTTGTTAAGATTAGTGATTTTGGTTTAGCAAAAATACGGCAAGAAACAAGTCGACAGACAAGTGAACAGGCTCAACAATTAGTAGAATCACGAGGAACACTTCAATGGAAAGCACCTGAATTATTAAAATTCGGTAAACCATCGCAAGCTAGTGATATCTATAGTTTGGGTATTGTCTTATGGGAATTAGCTACTAGATGTATACCCTATGACGGGGTAGATGAAGCAGTTATTTGCCAAGGTGTCAAAGCTGGAGAAAGACTTGAGATTCCTCAAGATATTCCATCAACTTTTGCATCAATTATTTTACATGCATGGAGCCAAGAACCAAACAAACGACCAACTGCTCTAGCACTCATTCAAGAGATAAAAACTTTTATATCAAACACAGTAGAGAAATCAACTACGTGAGTATGTGATTTAAAACAATCTGATCGAATGTGTTTGTTATTTAGACCTAAGATTTCGTTAGCACAAGCTCAGCCAAATGACAAAGATCCAATAAAAGCAGAAGCTATTCTAGTAGCAAATGGTATATAACTTTTGCGCTTACTACTGAATTCAAATTTATCATATTTATGATTGTTTTAGAATTGTACACTAGTCATAATCCAAAACTTGAACCTTTAATCAGTCAATTTCAGTCTTGTTCATCGATGAATTTAAGTAAACAACATTTGACCGATTCAGATATGGATATTGTAATCCAACAAGCAATCGTCAATAAACAATGCACTAATCTGTGGTTAGAATGCAACAAGATTACATCAAAAGGTGCTTCAATACTTGCCAATGCATTGTATAATAACACAACGTTGTGTGAACTTTGGCTCTATGGTAATCAAATATCTGATACAGGTGTACATTATCTAGCAACAGTACTCGCAATTAATACAACTTTAAAAAAACTTGGTCTTGCTTTTAACAATATCACAAATGCAGGTGTATCTCATTTAGTTGAAATGCTGAAGAAAAATCATACATTGATTATGTTAGGACTTGCCATGAATAAAATAGGTAATCAAGGAGTACAAGCATTGGCAAATACAATTACTCATCAAAATATTAGTCTTGAAATCTTAACACTTGATCGAAATGAATTTATTAGCGACTCAAGTATCGATGCTCTTGTCAATATGATCAAACAGAATCAATCAATGAAGGAGCTATGGATAAATGACTGTAATCTATCTGAAAAAGGAAAAAAGAAATTCAGAGAAAAGATTGCATTTAAAAAAGACTTCAAACTAGTAACTACGTATGAACGTTCTTCATGATAAATAAGAAAATCTTATATATGAATGTTTATTTTTCAAAATAATGCTAGATTATAATCACATAGTTATATTTAATGTTTCTTGTGTATGTATAATTCAATTGGTGTGATTAACTAGGCGCAGCACTTGCTTCTGGATAAGTATCAGCAGTACTCCGTTGAGATTTATGTTTTGATAACTCTGATAATTCTATAGGTTCTTTCGTAGCACATGAGCCATATTTATCTTTGTTCTTTTTCTTATTCATAAGATGAATACCACCAATGACTATTCCAGCAAGAACAGCAAGTGTACCAATAATCATACCAATGATCATAAGCATCTTCTTTGAAAATATACGATGACGTTTTGTTATATTCAAAGCTAAAACATAACAGTAAAATCTGAATCTTATAATAGAATAGAATTCTTGTGAAACTAACTTCGTGTATTACAAAAATGACTTGTGCAACATTCGATACGACCCTCAAAAGTAGCACCACCATAAGACATTTTGCCTAGCTGTTTGCTAGTAACACATTTTGAAATGAATGTACGTATAACAAACATTGGATACTTCTTGCCTGTTGCAGCATCTTGTCCTTCGCGACCGATAATTGTCTCAAAAATATCAATTTCGATATCAATAAAAAAAAATTATTTAATCTTATACTACTTACAGCACATGCTTCAGAAAGGCTGGATGTTTTAGTTTTATAAACATGTGGACTAGATTCATTCAATATCATGCAATCTTTCAACCCAGTTATACGTGAATCACATGTATAACATTGAAGACTGGAATCTTTGATAACAGTAGTTAAAATTTCTTGATTACATTCAGGAGTATTACAACAGAAGATAGATGGTTTGCTAGTCAAATGATTGATATGATGGGATACATCTTTAACAGTTGCTTGACAATTGTTTATATAAGATTTATAATGAACTCCTTTATTATATGTAATCTATTTAATTCAATATTTGATAGTTTGTTATATAAGATAAAAATCTATTTTAACTCACCGAACAAGATTCTGTTGCGCTACTGAGAACAGTAACATAATCAAAATCATCAACACATATACCATCAGACATAGTACATTTACCAATGGCACATTTACGTGAAGTTAATGCAGGCAATGGTGGAGAAGGTAGAGAATTACATAGATTTTCATTACAACAAAATTGATATGATGAACTTCGACATGTATGTGAAGGTACTAAATCTCGAATTGTTAAACCTTCTGGAGTGACAGTTATCTGAAAAAAAAGAAATGATTAATGAACATCTAATATGATTTTATACGAACCGAACAGGAAGAAAATGGATCATTTTCTTTTGAAGTAACTTTTTTATAATGAGTCGAGTTTGGTGAAAATAAAGTACCACATGTGTGTCCTCCGCTACATGAATAACACACCAAACTATGACTCATATAAATCGCTATTTCAAGAAAAACAAAAAAAATTGATAACCTTCTATAGAAATTGAGTTACAATATCACTTACCGTGAGGCAATATCAAGTAAAGTATAATAAGTAATACCATCGTTCATTAACTAGGATAAAAAAAAATACGATAAATTTCGATTCGTTTTTACTTTCAATACGATTTTTGTTCTTCTAATGTATGAAGAAAATGAAAATGACTTATACTATCGTTAATGTTTAAGCATGGATGCCTATTTTTTTTCTTCTTTCGTTCTGCATACACAACGCTACACTTTACCTTGAGAAAAAGACTATTTTGTTTTTTTTTGATCAAGTCGTACATTCAATGTCGAATAGTACTCTATCGATAAATATAAAATTACTGAGTTTTATTATATTTTTGCAACAAAATTTGTTAAACTAATTTCCTAAATACGATTTTATTACCACAATGTGATGTTATACCATAATCAATTAGATGAATATTTATAAATTATATTTCCAAGTTCTTCAAACATCGTTTCTTTGAATTTTATAATCTATTTTTTTTAACTATATTACACTAGGGTGTGGGTGTCGGTGTGGGTGTGGATTTTCTGCCCACTCTGAATCACATCCTTGCCTAAACCTGCACTGACCCTCAAGATTTGTTCTTATATGAAGAAAAAACTAGTCATTAATTATCTTTCGTTATTTCAACCAACACAAATAGTTTTAAGAATAAAAAAATTCATTTATTTTTATTACTTTTATCAACATCAAAGAACTTATATTTTTCTTGTATTTGAAAAAAAATTAATACTTCAAATACATATGAGTAGATAAAAGTCATCAATTTTTGTTTTTTCTTTTGATATCTGTGACAATACGAAATAAGTCATAGATATTATTTTTTTAGAAAAAACTGTTCTGTAAGATTTACTGAAAGTAAAGTGAAAAACTTATTTGAATATAATCGTAGACGACATAAAAACAAAGCAATTTTGATCGATTAATATTCTTTCTGTACATACTCTTTAATAAGTAAAAAGAACAATAATAATATCATATTTTAATCAAAAAAAAGAAATATTAAAATCTTTAATTAACTATCAAATACAATATTTAATATAGTTACACGAGGTCTAGTAAGTTTTGAAGGTTCATGGAAAATATAAACATACTGTTAGTTAGCAACTACGAACAAAAAATAAAATGAGCAATAGAAAAATTTATTGAAGAGCACAAAGGTAAAGAATAAGTGAGTCAGCATACGAAAAATACTAACATATAAAGTATGATTGCAAATCGTATTATTTTTTTTTTGTTATTTAGAAAGAGAATAGACTTGAAAATACCTTACTTGTAACAATGGATATTCGACGTGAGATACAGGCGTGTCCTATCAAAGTAGATGAAAGAGACATCGAATAATATATATATAGAAAAAAGAATAGATATTAAAATAGGATACACTCAATATTTGTTTTATTTTATCAGTCTACTGTTTCTTCTATGATCGATAATTATACATATAAATACGCGAAAAATATTGATGTTTATTCAGTATATGAAGCGAACACCAACGAGTAAGTACAATGTGAAACTTACATGAAACATCGGATATTTTTATAGTCGATCTTATGCAATGAAAAACTGTAGGTAATAGTTTTCGTTAGTACTTACGTAGATCTTTTTTTCCTGGGGGAAAATAGTGTATTTAAGTGTAAATAAATATTTTTTCATTTATTTTTATTGACTTGAATTCATTTCAAACAAAAATTCAAAATATATAACAATAATTGTAATAGATACTCGCTTGTTATTATTTTATTAGAGATCTGTAATAGTTCTAGAGAAGATTTAACTAAAAGAAGAATAAACAGAATTATAATTAACTTGAACGATATTTATTCAGTCTTTTTGTATCTTGTTGTCATATTCTACTTAAAATGAACCTTGCTGGGGCTCGAATAGACACCAGGTGGATAAATAGCGTTCATATGTATTTGGAGGTAGTTTATCACATAAGTCAATAATAATAATAGCGAATAACCAACGTCAGCAGCATACTCTACTACTACTCTTCACTAGAGCATGTCTGAACAGATGTGATTTGATTCTAATACTTTGTGCATATAACATTAAAATGAGTTAACATACAAATATATATAATATTACTTTTTTATACTTCTCATTAGATATTTTTCTACCTACGTTATAATTCTGTTTTCCTACAATGTTGTGCTACTTAGGATTATTCTTTTACATTGTTAATGTTCTATCGGTAAGCTATTACTTTTTATATATAATTAAAGAACTGTCGATGGAAACTGTTTTCTTTATTTCTAGGTTAATTCACAGAAATCTGTAAAACATGAAAATTTATTTCATTTATCTAAAACAAACGCAACTGAGTATGAAGGTGGTAGTACACGGCAAGCTTATGAAATGAATTTTCCGATACTGAAAAATCAGTTTGCATCAATGGTAATGTTAACCTTGAAAGTGGGTGGTATTCGTCAACCACATTGGCATCCTTTCGCTTGGGAATTGAATTTTGTTATGAGTGGTAAGTGTACGAATCTTAAATAAGCATCTTGTAAACGTGTGATGTTACTACAAGATGTGAATGTCTTCTTTCGTTTTTCAAGAAAAATACACATATAAAAGAGAAAATATTTTTCTTCGTATATTTTTAGGTACAGCTGAATGGGGTATTGTTGGAACTAATGGTCAGCATGACTCGTTCATAGCTAATGCCGGTGATCTTGTATTTATTCCAGTTGGCGTTTTTCATTATTTTTCAAATGCTGATAGTGAACAAGAATTGAAAGTTTTAGTCATATTTAATTCTGGTAAGATTCTAGCAGATGATGATATTGGAATTGTCCCTTCATTGAATGGAATACCTGTTGATATATTGGCTGCTTCATTTGGCATGCCAAACGATTATTTCCACGCATTTCCAAGAAATGTAACACAAACACCAATTATTCTACGAAAAAATACAAAACGTTAAAGACCTTCGCACTTGTAGACTTGGCTTCAAAAACTAAAAACTCTTAACGAAGAAATTCTTTAAGATGATTGTTATTTTTCTTTGTTCTTAATATCTAAAAATAAAATATATTCATCGAATTATGAATGGGATTTTGTTGAACTTGTTTAAACTCAATAAAATAGAAGGAAATTTCAGTTCGATACTTATCATTTTTTTATTTTGGATAGGACTACGCGAGGTATTTTTGATGAGAAATACTAAAAAATGAGGATACCATCAACAAGTCGAAAGAAAAACATAACTTTTTTTATCTATTTAATATTTGCATTAATATATTATGTTTTAGAGTAGTATACAGAAAGAATTATTGACGAAGATCTTGTTTTAGCAACTGTCTATCGCAAAAACAAACTTTTGTTTTTTAATTATCTTTATTATATAAACAAAAGTAATGCATTTAGTCTTTGTAGCATCATATTCAGTTCTGGAATATACATGTATTTTAAAACAAAGAAAGATTTAGATAGCGCCCGAAAACCAATTTCTATCACCAGCAGTTCTGAAACAATGGAGAATAAAAAAGAATATATACTGTTGATAATAGTAACTCGTTCATATCGATACTTACCGAAATAGCCAATTTTGTTCAAAATCTGCCATCCATTGTGTATGTGACCATAATTTTTGATCAGTATATTGTGGAATAGTTAAATTTAATTCTTTCATAACCATACTCATTACTTCATCACATCGTGCATATATTCTCAATGCACACTGATCATCATATGGAGTCTTTTGTAAATCTATGCAAGACGAAAATATATATATATATAAAACTTTACAGCAAAAATCTTACTGATAATAACCATTTTCTGTCCATATTTTAAATTCATACATGGTAATTTGCATGCAGGTGCAACTCGCATCGATGTGCCCATACATAAACTTAAATCACAAATTTGTGATTCTTTAATTGCTCGATCCAAACAAACGTCTGGCATCGATTGAGAAAATGCAACGGTTGTACAACGTAAACGACCCTTACATTTCGGTACTGTACACATGTTTCCTGTTAACCATGTTTTATGTTCATATTGATTGACATGTGTTTGTCTATAATAAACTTTTCCACATTTTGCACATGCTTCGCAATTGGAATTGCCATGTAATTCAGCGATTCTATTTGGTGATATTCCACTTTTAACATGAAGACCATCACAATTTTGAGAAACTAAAAGTTTTAAATAACCATTTCGCATTAATTCAACTAAAGCCATATGTGTTAATGTTGGTTCTGGATTACGAACGTTCGATGGTGGTGGAACAAAACCTCGTGCTTCAGCTGTCCAAACACCATTCGGACCACGAAAATCATTGATACCAGCTGATGTTGATATACCTGTAATATTCAGTTTATTGTAGATAGTTTATTCTATAAGATATGACAATTATCTACCTGCTCCAGTATAAACAATGAAATGTTTTGCATTGCGAATGAAATTTGCTAAAGTTTTGATTTTCTTGTCAAGTTCATCTGTAGATGTAATGAAATAAAAGAAAAATAATCGATGAAAAGCAAAAGTATAAAAATTTATGATTTTCTACCGGGTGAATCGAAATATTCTTGAATTTCATCATCATTGAGTGCAGTATGTGCCATAATGAGATATCTTATAAATCTATAAAAGAAGAAAACGTATAAATATTATCTCAAAGATCTATGTTTAATAGACAGAAAAATAAAGGTTACATTATATCACTGCAAAAATTGCATAGAAGAAAATTATTCGTCTGATCTTAAACAGATGAAATGCAAAATAGTTAGAAATGCTTGGAAAATGAAAGAAATGGATATATATAAATATTTGAATTATATGACTTCCACTATTCACTTCCGGCTTTATATACTGTAAAAAAAATATATGAATCATCAGAGTTGCATACTTACGTGAAATTATGGACACATCACCTATATAAGAAATAAAGTCGTATGTTCATTACAAAATACAAAAGCAAACATGATGAATCATAGGCTTTCGTTGATTTTATTAGATTACTCTTCCGAGAGATTAAGAAGTGTTTTATTATAGTATTATTAAATACTTTAAATTTATAGTTTATTTCAAATAATATACCATATAACAATTATTTTATTCTGTATCATTATTTAACTCATCAATAGAATAAAAACAAGACAATTATTCACTTAAAATAGATACTATATAGTTATAATATTTTAAATAAGTAAATCAGCCGGAATAATTATCGTTAAATAATTCTAACATGCAAATATGACTCATTTGAATACATCAATGCGTATTTGTTCGTACTTCTTCGATCGTATGATATCATTATTTTGTCTTATATGACATGTCAAACAAAAAAAATATACGTTTTATTAGATTACATTAAATAATAAAATGAAATACTTTCAAAATCTATATCTACAGATTTGATTGTTTGGCTACAAAAAACGAAATTTACATAATATTCAAGAATGAAATGAATTGTTTACTAATCAATAATGTTAGATCTGATAAGTCTCAAGTAAAATACATTCGTATTATTTTCTATATTAAAAAATATTGTACTTGAATACTCATTCTTTTATTACCTCTTCCAATCTTAATAGTTATCCAGAAAACTAATAGTAATTGTTCTAATTTTTTTGACAATTTTGATAAACTTTCATCCTAATAAAAACAAAGTAATTTTGATCGATTAATATTTTTTCTATACATACTTTTTAATAAGTATCCTGTTAAAAAACGTGTAACATAGAAAATAATAATATTATATTTATATAATGAAAAGCGACATTGAAATGTTCGATTAATTATTAAATGGAATATTTAATACATTTCAAAGAAAATCTAGTAGGTTTTGAACTTTTATCGGTGAAAAAAATAAACGTGCTATTTGTTAGTAATCATAGGTTAAATCAAAATGAGCAATAGAAAAATTTATTGAAGAGCACAAAGGTAAAGAATAAGAGAGTCAGCATACGAAAAATACTAACATATAAAGTATGATTGCAAATCGTATTATTTTTTTTTGTTATTTAGAAAGAGAATAGACTTGAAAATACCTTACTTGTAACAATGGATATTCGACGTGGGATACAGGCGTGTCCTATCAAAGTAGACGAAAGAGACATCCGAATAATATATATGTCGGAGTACAAATTGGAATACAGTTCAATCTGGAACTGTCCTAGTACAGATTAGAATTCTGATTTGAACTAGGATAAATTAGAATCTTCATTATTACTAGTAACATATAGAACGATCTCATATTATACTAGTTCAGTTTGGAATTCTGATTTGAACCAGGATAGTGTAGAATTCTACTTTGTCCTATTCACACTGGACTAGGACGGATTGGAATTTTGAAAAGAACTAGTATAGATTAGAATCTTAATTAGAACTAGTTCAGGATAGAATGAAATACGATAAATTTAGAGGCTTAACATATTTCATAAGAAAATTCCTGACGCAAAAATGAAAGTTTTCCTAGCAAGACAAGAAACAACAACATTTTCTATAGTCGTAGTTTTTATAATTCATACCGATTTTATTAAAACATTGTAAACAACATTTTGTCTTCTTTCGTTTGCACTATCATCGATTTGTACTTGAATCAGTAGCACATCTATAGGTATTAGCAACTCCGAAATTGCTGTAAAATCGATATTACGGTATAAATATAATAGAAGATAATCATTTTATATTTATGTTACGCATAGCCTTATACTCTTCAACCTATGTATATCATTTATTTATTGGTTCTCGAATAAAATACTTCTATTTAAAGTTTATATGTGCGATGCATGTAGTTAAACTATTTCGCATATTAAAAATTGATCCTTTTTTTACATTCGCGAAACAATCTTACATATACGGATTCCATTCTGAACTAGTAATAATAAAGATTCTAATTTATCCTAGTTCAAATCAGAATTCTAATCTGCACTAGGACAATTCCAAATTGAACTGCATTCCAATTTGTACTCCAACATATATATATAGTTGAAATATTCAGAAAAACCGAGACATATACAACAGTGAATACTAATATTATGTGTTATTGTTAAGAATATTAAATTGTAAAGATATATCAACATAATCACCCTTTAAGGGAACCCCCAAACAAACGTCATCTATAGAGTGTAAATGAATTATACAAAAGTAGAATTTCATTGGTTGCTTTTGACTAAGATGTTTTTTTTGTTTTTCTTTTCTATTTGGTACTGAAAAATCCATGAAGAAAGAAAAATCTCGCACGAGTGTAATATAATACACTTACATTAGTCATACACAAGTAATGTGAAATAACAGACGAAAAAAAAAAACGATAAAATATTACAATATGACCGTATGCACTCCCGTTGTTGTTAACATCTTACCTGCTACAACAATTGCTGCTCTTCAAAACCAAAACAAAGATTTGGGCTATTCACATGCGACAGAACTCGAGATAAAAAATGATACCAATCAGGCAATTCAAATTAAAGTGTCCCACGTGGACAGTCACGACTGGGATGGTCTCTCGCGACCGGATTTTCAATTTCAAAATGTAACTATTGAAGCTGGCGCATCGAAAAAAGCACTTCAAAATATCAAAGCTCGAAGATCAACGGCCGTCTCGACAATGACGGTATGCCAAGATGGCAAGGAACAATTTGTCATAAGAATCAATCAATGGGATGCCATGGCTGACGAGGTGGAAACAAAAGATGTGGATCTTGATAATAACTATATACTACATGTCACGGGTGGCAAACGAATACTTACTATTTCTATTGCGATCAAGCAACATAGCTAACGTACCTCTTAATCAACTTTTCTTCAGCGATCAACTCAAAACTCTTACACTTTTTTTTTAATCTTTATATTGCTGTTATTCTATAGAGTTCGACTAAGAATTTAATAGCAGTGAATTCACTATAATAAAATGCTGTTTGTATATATAGGTTTTCTAGAGTTCTCGTCTCTGGTTTAAACCGATATCAATTGAAAATAAACTGATCTTTTCTCTTCAAGAAAAGAAGGTACATCCTTAAGATGAATATATTAGATTTATCATTAGAGGTACTACTTTTTCATGTAAATTAGTTGTTTTGTATATGCGAAATAACTATAATTTAAAAACTCATGTCACACTTTTGTGAAGATAAATTTTTGTTATATTGTGTGCTAATTTATAGCGAGATATATGACGCTCTCAACCTCATTTTCATATCAAACCACTGTAGATCTGAAATAGAAACTGTCATCTTCAAGCATTCATTCAACACACAAATTAAACGTATTAATATTTGTAACGATGAAAATGTACCCAAAAAAGTTCAACATTTTCTATATTTTTTTCATTCATCTGCTAGAATTGCCGTCGAGAGATATATATTCCATTATCGTCGCTGCCATCAACTAGACGAGAGTGATTCTAGTCACAAAAGAAAATGATCGGTAACCAATCACATGAGAAGCATCAAACATATATAACATCACTTTTTTCTCCTTTCCATTACATATCTTTTTTGTCTACGTTACAATTCTATTATCCTTCAATGTTGTGGTACTTAGGATTCTTCTTTTTCATTGCTAATCTTCTATTGGTAAGTGATTACTACTTATATACAATTAAAGCATTTTCGATGGTAATTGTTTTATATTCTCTAGGTCAGTTCATACAAATCTCTAATACATGAAAATTTATTTCATTTATCCAAAACAAAAGCGCTTAAGTATGAAGGTGGTAATATATGGCAAGCTGATGAGATTAGTTTTCCTATATTGAAACATCAATTCGGATCAATGGCAATTGTGACCTTGAAAGTGGGTGGTATTCGTCAACCACATTGGCATCCCTTTGCTTGGGAATTGAATTTTGTTGTTAGTGGTAAGTATACGAATCTCATAGATAATTATCTCGTGAACATGTGATGTTGGTATAAAATGTGATTGTCTCCTTTCCTTTTTAGGTAAATCTGAATGGAGTATTGTTGGAACTGATGGTCGGCATGATTCGTTTGTAGCTAATGCTGGTGATCTTGTATTTATTCCACGTGGTATTTTTCATTATTTTGCAAATGCTGATCGTGAAGAAGAATTAAAAGTTTTGATTATATTTAATTCCGGTCAGGTTGTAGAAGATGATGATATTGGAATTGTTCCTTCATTGAATGAAATGCCTGTTGATATATTGGCTGCTTCATTTGGAATGCCAAAAGATTATTTCAAAGATATTCCAAGAAATATGACATCAACACCAATTCTTTTACGAAAAGATACAAAACATCGAAGATTACCGCACTCGCAAAATCGATGGATTAACTAGAAACTCTTAATAAAGAAATTCTTTCGGATGATTATCATTTTTCTTTGTTCATTTACTCTTACTACATAAAATAAAATATACTTCTCGGATTATATACGGAATTTCACATGTTTTCACTTTCATTGCTGATGTGTTATACAGAAAAATCTAAGCATCACTATAATCAATGATAATGAGAATTTATGTATTGGTAGTAACTAAAGTAGAACATTAATTATTGACAACTGTTAAATTCGTATTGTAATGAGCTGTTTATACCTTCTATAACAAGCAAAAAGTCAAATGAAGAAAAATTAATTATGTATCAGATTTATGTTTTGACAAATCTTTCTATAAAACAGAAATCAGTATATATTCATCAAGTAGCTGATGAAAGTTCTTATTTACTCTCTCAAAACTTTGTATTGTTTTTATTATTAAAAAAAATTCAATCACTAAGATGTACAAATCAACTAGTTAATCATTATAAATAAAAAAAAAATAACGTACAGAAATAAAGAATTCAAGCTGCATTGAGTTCAACATTAAAATATGATCCTACTGATTATTAATAATGAACTGACGGGTATGAGATAATAGATGTCAATCAAACAGTTAATTTTTAAATCGTAGTTCTATATTAACAAAATTCTATTAAAAGTTAGAATGAAATAATGGAATAATCATGTATGTTGTCCAACTGCAGAAAGTTGTTGTGAACACAATTCACGGTACTTTCTGACATGTTTCATTTATCTGTCTCTTCAGATATTTGCAAATTACTCAACGTTACAATCGTTGTAGTTTATCCATTATTTTATTTTATTTTTATTTAATTGAGAAATAGCATTTAGATTTTCTTACTGAAAATTTATTATGACTGTGACTCACGATAGTTACTCATCGAAACTTTTATGGGATCATGTTGTTCACATACATGAGTCCTTGACGTTAGTCTTTCAGAATATCAAATAGAAAAGAGACGTCACCATTCACTCAAATTTATAATGACTGACTATTTAGGTCATCAAAAGAAAACGGTAGCATCAGGTTCCATTCTATTAAATAATAATAGATGTTAAACAATAATCACAGAACAAGCTGTGACAAAAACAAATTGAAGACATTTATACTATTATTAGACCAAATATTTATGAGATGCATTTTTTCTTTCTTTTCTAAAGAAAAAACAATCAAACAAACAAACAGTATTCTTCTTTCATCTTGATCATTTTACAAATGTCATCAACATATATCCATACAGCTTTTTTCGTTCTTCTTGTGACGATTGTCGTAGTCGCACAGAAGCCTCCAGTTACAATCGTTAACAGCGGTTCAACAAATACACCTGGTTATACGATCATAATTCAGAATGATGGTAACACACACTATTATATTGCACCATCACGAGCCCAGATTGCCAATTCAGACGGTACTGGTCAGCAACCTACTTGGACAAATGGAACAGCACAATTATCATCTTCAACACGAAAGAGTTTGTACTGTCAAACTAAACATTGTGAACCATTCAATAAACTTCCAGTTGAATCATGTGGAAAAAGTGTTTCTTTTGGCTTCACTTTGAAACTGACATACAAAGGAGAAACAACACCTGATTTATCTTGTCCAACTACTAACCAAAACTTAGAAAATTTGATTACAACAGTCAACAAGGTGATCAGTGAATTGAAAATTTAAATACATTATGAGATTATTCGGGTACTATCTAATAGTTACTACTAGGTGAAGGGAGTTTGAATGATTTTTTTCTAATTCTTCAACAATAAAATTTTGAATAATACGGAAATTTCAATCTCATTTCAGACTTACTAAAGTTGAAAGTAAACTCGAAGCAAATTATTTTGTGGAGCAAAGAAACTGAGTTAATTTTGATCTTTTAAAAGAGAAATTAGACTAAATTATTTTTTCTTGTTCTGTCAAGGACTTTATATCACATATAAGCGTTCAACAAAATCACATAATATTCATTCTAAATGCACAAATTTACAGATAATAAGAGTTAATAACGAGTTGGTCTACCATGATATTTTAAAACTTGTTCGAGTCGCTTTGAGATTGAATTAACTAATTTTGATATTACATTTTGTTCAATGCCTTTTCATTCACTGGGTTAATATCTGATGATTTAACCAGCCGTATGTTTAGGATTATTATCATGTCTAAATCTGAACGACTTCATTTTCAATTTTTTCGTTCAATATCTTTTCGTATTGTTCTCTATACATTGTTCTCTCTACGAATAATAGACTTCTGACGTCACTAGCTAGCATACATCTCCAAAACAATACACTGTCTCCTACATATTTTCATTCGACTTTTTAATTTATGTTTTATTTTCGTGTAATGCATCTTCGATGAATAATTCGATCAATACGACTTGTCGTCTCAAGTTTACGACCTCCGCCAAGGCAATTCTTTACTGAGTCAATTTGATTTCGTTTCTTAATTATGTAACAAGTCATGAAATGACATAAATATGATCTGACATATTTTTTCTTTTTGATAAATACATCGTAATTGAGAAAGAAAACGTGTCTTGTGAAAAGAATTAATCGATATTTCGAACTATTAAGAAAGAGAAATGAAAGAAAAGTAACAGTAATTATTCAGGCATTGGAGCGAGAAATAAATATAATATTCATTTATGTTTTACTTTTAAAAACATCGAGTTATATACAGAGAAAGAAAATATGTCCTACGAAAAGAATAAATTAATATTTCGAAACATAGAGAAAAACAAAACGAAAGAAAGGTGATAATAATTTTTCAGTCAGAGAAACGAGAAATAAATATAACATTCAATTATGAATTGTTTTCGAAGCTGTCGACCTGAATCCAAACAAAAACTTGAAGAAGGTAATAAAAAAACCATTCAGTTAGGCGAAATAAACTTTAATAAAATTGATTTCATGTTACATAGATGAATCGTCTGTCGATCCTGATAATGAAGAAAAATTCCAGCAATTATTAGAACGATTAAGTCCTGATGATATGCAGACTGCAGCATCTGTTATACAGATGACTTTATTGGATGCATCTGCTAATGCTTTAGCTAAAAGCAAAGTACGTCCGAAAAATAAAATACCAAAACACTATACAAGCAATATCAAAAGTATGCATAAAGGATTATTGAAAAAATTAGATTCAAACGATCAAAAAATATTTAACGCAGCAATTAAACAAGCAAAAATCAATGGTGCCCAGCAACCTTCATTAGTTGAAAGTATCTATGGATAATAACACTTGTTTCTTCAAATCATTCATATACACGTAGTTTTCTATAGTTTTATTTTTGATTATTTTGTTTCATTATTCATTCTATCATATGTAACACAAGTACTATTGCTTTTTTATTCATACACTGGTAATATAAATTAAACGAGTATCTTTGTTCAACAGAAATTCTACTGATCTAGGTGAGGGTGTGGGTGTGAATGAAATAGTTCGTAACGAAAAAACTGATCAACATCAGTGCCACCAAAGAAAATCACTAGACAGGTATTATTAATTCAGAGAAAATATTCACATAATAACATCAATTCTTTCTCTCAAATCTGATCATTTGCGATGATATTTCATGTACAAAATTCTTATTCTTAGTACAATGCATGTAAATTATACCATCATTGATTCATTAGATTATCTATTTTTTATTCATTGCATATTATGTTTCATAAGCGTTCAAATAGATTCGACACAATCAAAAAAAATGAAATTGTAGACACATCAAACACCAAAACCCATGCGTTCTGTCATGTAGAAGCAAAACTAGAATTAGTCAAATATTGTTGTTAACATAGATTTATTTAGAAAACTTTACCTCATCAAAGACAATATAACCACTCTGGTTGGTATCAATAGAGTCAAATTCTTTGCGCAATTGACATGTATCCGAACTATTCAGATTGAGCAAATCATAACCTTTTTTAAATTCGTTAAAGCTGATTCGATGATCGTTATCGATATCTAATTCCCGAAATAAATTTATTATTTCATCATAGTAATTGAGCTGAGAAATCAGTGTTGCAAATTCTTTAAATTCAATATAACCATTCTAAATTCAAACAAAAAACATTTAGTTAGCAATTAGTACGTGCTACTATTTTTATCTCGATTGTTCATACCCCACTCCTGTCAGCTTTTTTGTAGGCCCGCATTATTATTTTTTTGTGTTTAATAAGATGTGGATAATGACCTTTAATAGCTGCTTGAATTTCTGCCAACGATAGAATTCCATTGCCATTATCAAATAAATTGAATAACTAGGTTTATTAAGAAAAATACCAATAAAAGCGAATGTATTAATTACTCACTTTTTTCAGTTCAGTTTTATTGAGATTTTTTGTCATTTTAATAATCTTATTATTGTGTTTTCTCTCGACAGGAAAAATTCTACTCTAAAAACAAAGATTTTACAGATTGTTAATTAATCTTCTCATAAATACACACTCAGTGCACTAAATGATTCTTGAAAAAAAATGTTGGTTGTGAGAAATTATCAAGGCTATATAAAGGTATTGTTTGTTTAAACGAAAATAAAATGTGATTTTTCCTTTATACACCATTCTGACTCAATTCACACAACGTCGTCATGCAGAATGAAAAAAATAAGTATTAACATTTCAGCTGCTTTGCATATTCCAAATGACGGTAGAGTATTGCGTAAAAATTTTATTTCTTCATAGTTTCATTTCGATGAGAAATTTCACTGTATGAGAAAATAAAAAAGAAGTGTGAGATTAAGGAGGGTGTGGATTAATTCTCCCTTCACTTTCAGCTCTATAAATGAATATCTATATTTATTTTATGAATATTTTATTTGAAGAACAGTTCAGTTATATTTTTTTTATTTATTGACGAATACATCTTATCAATATATGCACTTTCTTAAAAGCTATATACAAGGATGATGAATGAATATGAAGGTAAATTAGTAAATTCTTTAGTTAAAATGAGACTGAAAAAAATAAATTTGATTAAACTTTTTTCTTGATTTTAGTTTATTGAGGGTGTGTGAATGTCGGTATGTATGTGAGTAAAGCATTATGATATACACACATTCATACCCATTCGTTCAAGCTATATGTTTATTTATTTCTAAAATGTTATAATACAATTAATCAAACGCTCCTGTTGTATAGGTATATTTTTCTTTTTGATTGAGACGTTGTTCAGTTAATATTCGTCGTTGTCGTGCCTTTTGTCGAGTTGCTTTGGTTTTGAGTTTATAGTCTTTTAGTCGTTGATTATCAATTAATTGTAGCATTCTAACACATGCAGGAATTGTACTTTGAACACCACATTGTTGAAGCAGTTTTGTGAATGATAGTTGATAACCATCATTGTAAAGAATAGCAGCTAGAGAAGCAGCATCACGAACATATTTAGCAGAATGAAATTGTGTTTTAGGACACAAAGACCAAATATAGCTATGATAAGATTCATTTGGATTGGTTGTTCCTCCATCGACCACTTTTGATAATGTTTCTTCAGAGCACATCTTTTCATAAACAGGACGAATGACATTCATTACTGCAGATGCTATACTGTGTTTGCTAGAATCAAATGATTTGTGTTTGCAAATATGGCACTTGCTTGGATCACAAGATTCATAATTAGGATTTTCACGTGTAGAATTGTAATGGTAAAATGTAGCTAAAATATAAAAATATTAACGAGAGATATTAATATGAAGAAAGCATACTCCAACAAGCGACTTTCATTGATTCCAAATCGTTCACATGAGATCTAATAGCAGATCCGTAAGAAACAGTTAATTGATGAATTTTGTCATCAGTCAAACGTCCTTTTCGACCTCCAATTGGTAAACCGTCTTCTAATTTTTCACCTTTATATTTGTTTTTGATTGTTTCTAGAGCAGTGCGCATTCTATATTTAAAAAAAAGTAGATGTATAATCATTAAGATAACGATATTACCGTTTTGAAAAATGATTTATACATTGAAGACGTTGAATAGGCATGTTTCCATATGGTTGAGCATCGATAAGTGCACGTTCATTGTTGGCATCACCATCAGCGACGTATGTCGTGTATCGTAGAAGATGTTTAGCTTCTGATCGACGAAAAACTTTTACCATTCCTAAAAGATTTCAAATGTTAGTAAAAATCTCTCAACGTAACTTCTTCAAACCTGCAGCCTCCATTCCACCTGATGAACCTGAATGATTTGCTTCACAACCACTTGCAATATGTTGTGTTAAAAGCTGTTGATACATTTCAGGACTGTGTTCTTTAATCCCTAATAAACCAGAACACGTGGTACAGTATCGACTTAGACATTCGAAGTCTAATACTTTTGACGGGTCCGATGTTGTGCACACAGTTGCTATTCCATGTAAACTAGAATGACCACGACGAGTTAACCATGTTCCATCAATTGAAACTTTAATATTTGTAACTCCTTCATGATCAGCAGGTTCAGATGATTGTTCTGCTGCTTCATCAGCTACAAATATACTCATACGAAAATAGCATATGATAAACAAATCAAGAAATAGTAAGTTTTACCGGCTCTTCCAAGACTTTCATCTTTTACAACATCCAAAGCATCTGAATATATTTTTTGATATTTGTTCCAGTTTTCAATTTGAACTGGTGGTAAAATATTTAACATGCCTAAAATTGTAGTCATGCCTGTTCGTTTGATCCCAACAATATTAGCTGCTACACATGCCATCATGTTGAGTTCATCCATACGTTTAGTAGTTGGATGAACCAATTGTGTTGAATTTGTAAAAGACATTTCAAATGAGCAAATGCATGAAAACTTGATATTGTACACGAGACCACGACGTTGAGTAATTTTTTCAGACATTTTGCCAACACAATCACATGAAGGACAACGCAATTTATTAACTAAATTTAGTATCATACCGATACTGACAATAATATTAACACTTTCATATGGAATATCAGGTGATGAAAATTCGTCTTCTATGGTCGATTGTGTTGTTGAAGTCGATGTAGAATTAAGTTGAGCACGAGCTAATTTTAGTTTCTTTTCTATTGTTGTTGTTACATGCTCAGTTGATGTTGGTATAGTGTTATGTATTGATTTTGCGTTTTTTAAACGTTCCAGTCGAAGTTTTTGGTTTTTTAATCGTTTAGAAATATATTTACCCATCTAAAATATACTTTTTATTTATTAGTACTGGTCGGTCATTACGAGATGCATAATTAAAAGCAATCAAAATACTTCTTGAAAGTTGCTATCAAAATGCAAATAGTACTATGCCTTCACTTATTTATCTTATTTTATCTAAAAAAATCGAAGAAACAAATCACTTAGTACCAGCAGTCATACTACAACTGATGCGTTTTCGATTTCCAAACGATCTTAACAAAGATAAACCTCTCCAAGGTACAGTTGATGTGTCCATTGATGATTTTGTCTAATGGACAAAGCGTATAAAGTAAATGTTGTTATGTGTTTTCATTTATTTTTCGTGTTATCAAACAAGAAAAAAGAAATTATATGAAAAAAGAAATATTCTTTTCTATTAGACGCGATTATGACTTTTTTGGGATTGTACGAACCGAAATGATTATAAAATCGTAGTTTTTCATATATTAAAAAAAATCGAAGAGAAAAAATTTTTGGCTCGAAAAAAGAGTGGGTGTAATGTTATCTTAACTCGGTACAACTACCAACTCAACTATTCACCCACAATTGAGAATCGAGAATCCAATTAGAATGAATAAGAAGAAGGAGAGAATAGAGAGGGCGGAGGAGAGAGAAACTATATCCAGAGGAAAGAAACAAGAAATAGGGGAGAAAAAGCTCATGTATTAGTGGAACAGAGCAGACAAAAGTGGTGTTATTCAAAAGGATGTCCGTCACTTCTCTCGGTACAGTGGGGTCCCCTTAAACTACCATTTTCTTTTTTTTCTTTCATTATACTATTCTAATACAAACTAGGAATTGCTCAAACATTCACTTTTAAAGAAAAAAATTACTTTATAATATGTCAAATATTCAACATACTTTTTCTTTGTTTCAGGTAGATTGCGTTTAAAAATATTTTTCAATCTACTCACTTCCCTATAAAAAAAAAGAATATATATGTGTATATATGTATATGATTTCTTTCATTATGATCATACGTCCTCTATAAATAACAACTATTCTAGTCGTTTAGAACAATAAATCTGACCTGTATTTTACGCCCTCTATAAATGACCACAACTCTACTCACTAAAAAATATATTTTTAATAAAAAAATTCACGTCACCTGTATATCAGGTATATTGTAAGTAAACAAGTAAATTTCGTTTACATATTTTAAAATATTTAAATTTTAATCAATAATTATTTTTAAAAATTCAACTCATTTTTAAAAAAAAAACTTGAAAGTTTATCAATTTTTCGATAATTCAAATTTAAATAACTTAATTTAATTAAAACTTAAATATATTTATGTTAGCAAATAAGATGTAGCCCTCATCCACACCCTCATATAAAAAATGAAAGATTAATAAAATTCTTATAATTCATCTTCTTTAAAGAGACTTCTTTTTAATTCAATGTCAATGAATATTAAAATTACTTTCATAGTTGAGATCTCTTATCTATCGAAAAAAAGATCTTCTTCGTTCTTCTACTACCTACTGATATTTATTGACTTTGACTCATCTTATTTTGTATAAATAAATACACAGACAAAATGATAATAAATATTCATTTCTTTTTCAAATTCTTCAACAAATGGCAGCAGCAAATAACAAAGCGCAATGTTTTGTGTGTAACAAAGAAAAAAATACTTACAATTGTAAAGGATGTACAAATGAGTTCTGTTTTCCTCATTTAACAGAACATCGACAACGAATCGAGATACAATTAGAAGCAATTATTAATGATCACGACCAATTTCAACAAACAATTATTCAACAAAAACAAAATCCACTAAATTCTTCTTTAATTCAACAAATTAATCAATGGGAAACAAATTCAATTCATCAAATCCAACAAACAGCAGAAGAATGTCGAGAAAAAGTCATGAAATCAACACAAAAGTTGATCGATGATGTGCAAAAAAAGTTTATTGAATTATCTCAGAAATTAAAAGAAATTCGTGAAGAAAATGAATATAATGAAATTGATTTAAATAATTGTCAATTAAAATTAAAACAAATTACAGAAGAATTTCTACAGCCATCAAATATTTCTATTCGGCAAGATTTACAAGAATTTATCAAGAAAATTTCTGTTATTTCATCGTTTGGTATGTTTATTCAATTATTTTATTTCGAGAAAAAAGAAAACAAAGTTTTTTTTTGAAGTTTTTCGTATTACAAATTAGTTTTATCAACGAAATTAATGATGTCTTATCAAGGAATTTAATTAATTGGAGATTTAAAGAGAAAAGTTTGAAATGTTGAAAATACCTCGTATCTAAATGATTTGAATCTGTATTTTGAGGATATACTGAGATATGTCAAACTATTTCAATATGAAAGCAGTTCTTCGGAATTATTATTTATGAAAAAAATTAATCTATGCAGTAGACAGTGTCAAACGTCAGAATATCACTTTACTGTTTTATATGTAGATAAAGATATTTTAATTGGAATGATAGTTGTGAGTGTATGATGGATATAGTACTTATACCCACACTATCATCTAAAAGAATCTTATGTTTGAGAATTAAATAAATTTCTTTTATAAATATATATCATTTCGTATTTTATAAGTAGGAAAATATTTTCTCAAAAGAAAATAAATATTTTATAGAGAAAACTTTGGGATTTATATTCAAAAGATAAAATATGATCAAACACTCTCTCTCTTTATATTTTTACTGAAAAAATTTAAATTTTGCTATGTTCCTATTTTAAATTATTTTAAAAACTTAAACAATAGTTCTCATAACCTAAATAATTATTCTTTATTTATTTTTTCAAAAGAAAAATTGTGTATTAATATTCTTTGGTATTTTCAAATATTTCTCTATTATTGTCAGATAAAATCATTGTATTTTCTTTTTATTAAGATTCTTATCAATCAAATCGGTCTGCAATTAGTACCGCGACTATATCGAAGAATCCAATAACAACAAATCAAATAACAACTCAATCTCAAATAGAACAAAGTATGTTTTATTAAATAGAAAATAGTTTTATTATCTTTAAAACTGAATTAAAACATTCTCATAAATTATTTTTTATTAATTAAATAACAATTTTAACTTAAAACAATATTCATAAAATTATTTATAATTTGCTTTTTTTCTGTTTTTATACGACTTAATATAAAGTTTTATTTTCTTTCACAACTGAAAAAAAAACCTTTATAGAACTGTTAATCAAATTAATCATTGAAATAATTTTGAAAAAAGAAATTATGATTATATTATAGTAAGAATTGAATATATTTATTGAAAATAAAAGTATTATTTTTATATTTTATACAATTATAAAAATGATTTTCATTTAAAAACAATTTTCTAAATTAAACTGTTATGAAAATCAAATAAAAAGTTTTTAATTAAAAAATCTCAATTGAATGAAGAAATTATTTGAGATTAATTTTGTTCGGTTAAAAAATTAAATTTAATAAAATGAATATTTTATTTTATTGAAACAAATGTAAATACAAGTTGTTCGTCTTATTCTGGCCCTTTTCTGATTTGAAAATAATGGAAAAGATTTGAATAAAAAGAAAATGTTTTATTTTAGAAGAACTTCAAACAAAAAAGAATAAATTTAAACAGTTTGCAATTACTGTTGCTGGAGGAATTGGAAAAGGGCAGGGATTAAATCAACTATATTGTCCTCAAGGAATCTTTATTGATGATAATAATAAATCAATTTATATTGCTGATTCGCAGAATGATCGTATTGTTAAATTGTACTTGAATTCAAATACTCGTCAAATCATTGCAGGGGGAAATGGAATTGGAAATAAAATTAATCAATTGTTCAGACCAATAGATATAATTTTTGATAAAGAAAATAATTCTTTTATCATTTCCGATCTTGGAAACAGACGAGTAATTCAATTTTATGATCAAAATCAAGCAAATCAACAAATTATTATTGCAAATATTAATTGTTGGGGTCTAACAATTGATAAAAATAGATATATTTATGCTTCTGATTGTCAGAATCATGAAGTAAGAAGATGGAAACAAGGAGATAAAAAAGGTGAATTAGTTGCAGGTGGAAATCGTCAAGGAAATCATCTTAATCAACTCAATCATCCTACTTATATCTTTATTGATGAAGATTATTCTCTTTATATATCGGATTCAGACAACCATCGTGTAATGAAATGGAAAAAAGGTGCAAAAGAAGGAATTATTGTTGCTGGTGGAAATGGTGAAGGATATAGTCTCAAACAATTAGATCATCCTCAAGGATTATTTGTCGATCATTTGGGTCAAATCTATGTGGCTGATTATAATAATCATCGAGTAATGCGTTGGTGTGAAGGAAATGAAGAAGGTGAAATTGTTGCTGGTGGAAACGGCGAAGGAAATCAATCAAATCAATTGAATTGTCCTATGGGTTTATCATTTGATAATGTAGGAAATCTTTATGTTGTTGATCAGTATAATCATCGAATCCGAAAATACGAAAAAATTTGAAACAAAAAAAAAAGTTTTAATTTAATTTGGTAAAATTTCGTTTTTTATTTTTGAAAATAAATAAAAAAACATTAATTTTATGAAAAATCTGCAATAAAAATAAATTTGTTTTTCATTTTTAGAATAAAAGTAAATAAGTATTTGTTAATTCTTATTTTTAAATTAAAAAACTAAAATGAATAAAATAATTGGGCTAGAATTATTTTTGAATAAAATCAAATTAAGAGAATTTGAAAGAAAATTTAATTTTTTATAGAAAACTCAAATATAATATTTTTCAAATTCAAAAAAACATTAAAATTAATAAAAAGCAAGTTGTAAATAGAAATTTTATCAGATTTATTTTTGTGATTTTATGGTTTATTGAGAGAAAGAGAAGAGAGAAGAAAAAACATAAATGAATAAGAATGAAATCTATTAAAATTGAAAAATTAGATTAAGAAAATATTTCCTTTAAAAGGAAAAATGGTTGAAGTAAAAATAAAAATTGAGGAGAAAAATAAATTTGAAATTTCAATTGTTTAATAAATAATTTCTCATTTATTCAAATAAATCATTTTTTATCAATAGAAAAATACGAGATAAATTTATCACTGGATATTCAAATACAATTTGTCTTTTCATATTGATTAAATTCATTCATGGTTGATAATAAATTGTGATTGTCTTGTTTATTGCCTCATTATGCGATCTATCTATCCTTTTCGCAACGTTCAGATAAAACTTCGAACTTATCTTCTGATCAAATTTGTTCACTTCGTGACGATAGAAGCATGTGAAGGTGTGGGTGATGCTCTCTTACCTTTCACTCACACCAACCTACCCTCAGAGTAGTTCATATTTTTTATATGTTTGATTCTTTTAATTATGCTACAGAACAGTATACTGTCGAATGTATCCTGATATCGTTCAGAAACATGTTATTCACTGTTGATTAGAATATGAGAATGTTGGAAAATTATCTTTTTTTCAGATTTATGTGAAAATTTGACACTGATCTGTTATAAATATTTTTAATATTCATTATACAAACACTGAGATAAATTGATTTATCAAGTTTTCTTTATTAATTAAATATGATATAAAAAAGAGAAAAAAATATCAATGTGCTTCAATGGTAAACCGTTGAACGCGATGATTGTGTGTAACAGGATCTGGGTGTGGGTATGAGTATTATTTTCATCTCACACTCACCTTCATAATTGTTTAATTATGAAAAAATCTTTTTATTTTTTAAGAAATTTCGCTCAGCTGTTTCTTATTTTAAGTTCCACAGTCTCATAAATAATATGAAATAAACTCAATTTTGTTAATACGAATACATTTCATGTGTCATATGTTCATGTGTGATATTATCTTACGTCATGTATTCATGAGTCATATACTGTCCAATAGACATATATATACGCATGTCTACATCGGTTCCAATGACACACGACATATAGTCTATTCCTTAACCGTTTCTGTCTATTTCTTCTCTCTTTTCTGACATACGCGTTCCAAATGATCAGTTCGTTTGCAGAAATTACAAGTAAATTTATTTTTGGATTGTTTATTCCAATAACATAAGCATCGCGTAATGCACGATCTTGAGGACGATCTTTTCATTTTGATGAATTAAAAGTACAATGACGCATCTTATTGCAAAGCTCAGCTTTCCAATCTGAGAATGGTTGGCCTGGCTTCTAATGACATGAGTAAAATTCATATGTGGCAGTCATTATATTCCTTGTTGCATCATAATGTGAATCTAATTTTTTTAATTAGATCAACATATTTTACTTGTCCATCGGTCAGGAGATCTGGTGCTGTTAATGATTCTAATAGACCATAAGTTGAATCGCCAACAGACCACAAGAATAACGCTTTTTTGTCGTCATTGTCAACGATTTTGTTGGCTTTGAAATAAAAATTAATTCTATCCCGGTACGATTGCCATGTTGAATTGTGATGATCAAACGAGTGAAGTGCTAAAATTGTTGAGAATTTTGCTGTTGTCATTTCAGCATTTTCTTGTCAGAATAAACGTTGTTCTGAAATAATCTCGTCGCTAATTTTAAGTTTTGAGTTTACTTTCGTATAGTGAGTTCTGTTTATTCAGATAAAGAACAATATACAAATCAGAAAAGAGAGAAGAAATAGAGAGAAACGATTAAGGAATAGATTAGATGTCGTGTGTCATTGGAACCGATATAGATGTAACTTATTGATTACATGTACTATATAATTTATTGCTGAAAGTACTGTTGTTTTTATAGTATGTGATGTTGATTGAAAATCTTTTGAACTATCCAGGCCAAACAATCCGGCACGGAAACACCCAGTTCCGTGATATTCCGAAGATTTCGTGGAAGCAATGTTTCCGTTGAACGGACCAGGTCACCAGATCCATTCGGTTTCACTCGGAGCCAATTCCGAGGTCAAATTCTTGGCATTTTCCGACTGGGTTCCAGCCGAAAACGGGAAGTTTCCTGAGGATATTCGCCGAAAATTCATGGAATACTGCATCAAGAATCATCGATCGGGGTGTGAACATATAGGTGCTAATAAAATCACTTGTACTTCGATATAACGTTTAATTGAATCGAAATGAATTTCTTTTTCGATGCAAAGCATAATTCACAATACGTATTTCGTGCCGTTATTAATCCTGAAAATCCATCTGTAAGAATATCTTTCTATTACATTTTTTCATAATTTTGTTGAGTCAATTGCATAGCATAATTGATTTCAGATTCAAAAATTCAATCGTCGTAAACATAATTTTCATTTGTGTGATCTAAACTTGATGAAAGTTGATATAATATATTTTTAATAAAATTCATGCTTGGTGAAACAACATCTGACCTCTTTTCTGATGGATCTAATAGATTAAGTTTTTGTTTAATATTAACTGGCTTTATAATAATTATATTTTGAACCCATTCAGTAAATGCATAAATATATTAAAGTAGTTCTTTAGCTTTGTTTTCGTCAAAATTAGCATTAGCTAATACTAAACATATACCTAAAAAAGAAAAGTATTTATATTATCTTTCTCGTAGAGAAGAGTTCAGCAGAAATAAATTATTTGCTTGATTGCTTGCTTGTGTGTCCGCCAGGTCAAAAACACATTTCTTAAGGTATTTCGATACGGGGACTTCGAATTGGAGGTCTGTTGGATGAACAACGTGAAGGGGAGGGGAGAGGTCAAAAACATCGAAAACGGATTCTTCATGGCTTTCAATTATTTTTCCAGTAGATATGAAGACGATACATTTTCATGAGAAAGAGCTAAGCGAGTCATCGGACGAGCACTAGTTGTTTTTTAATATAAAGAAAAAGAAAGGAAAAGCAAACCATCACCTGAAAATGTTTCAATAGCTTCTAATTATGTTATAAAATGTCCTGTTTATTTGGATATTTTATTTGAATTTAATAAGTGAGAGTGTGTGTGTGAGTGTATCTTGTTTATTTCGCCCACACCCACCCTAATTCATGTTGGTTGTGTAATGCAAACCCAGGCTTTCATCCTGAGGGTGTAAGTAAATGAAGAGTAGGCATGCACACTCACACCCACGCACCCTCATCCTTAATTATTTTTCTGACTGGTTTTCAAAACGGTGTATAGAAATACTGCATATAGACGCGTTTCAAATTTTTTTAATTTATTTATTGTTAATACTAAGTTAATTATATTTTATCAACATGTGTATTTGATAGAAAAAGAAATTGATCATAGACAACTTGCAGGTGTACGTGAATAAAAGATCAGAATTTACATCTATATGTGCATAAAACATGAATATATATAATTTTATTTTAATAAAGTTGAAGAATAATAATATCGAACATAATAGTAAATATCAATATGAGAAACAAATAAACAAAATTTACAAATTAAATTGTTCTATCTATTTCATCGAATTTTGTGAAAAACATTTATTCCACCACTTGCCATTGGAGATCATTTTCTTATTTTCATCAAGAACTAGATAAAAATAAAATATTATTAATAAATATGATTTTACAGATTAAAATATTTACATATATCATCATCATCGTCTGTGATCCATAAACAAACTGAAAAGAAATATTGGTCGTTGATTTGACAAACAAAATCATTGGGATTTCTATCTGTCAAACGATGTGTATGTTTTATTAACCATTTACATGTCATTTTAATTGGTTTTTTTGTACCAATCAAACATGAATCAATATGAAAGAAACCACTAACCATACTTCCGAATTCATCGATTAAAAATGGTATTTGATTTTTTGAATTAATTGTAACAACTAATCGTTCGACACATGGAAAATATAGAGACCAAACAAAATAATCATCATCCAAAAACTCTGCATATTTAGGTAATACTAATGTTTTAATTTGTTTAAGTGAAATATCTGGAAGATTTCCAGTGCCAAGACTAGGATGAGGACAATTTAAACTAAGATAATTAACAGAAGGCATTACTTCTTTAATAAGTATTAAAATTTTGCTGAATGTCCATTGAGAATTTTTTATAACTAATGATTTTACTTTCGATAGATTAATAGCATTCTTATCAATATTTAAACTTGTAAGATAAATTTTTTCAATGTAATTATAACGATGATGTGCTTTTCGACGACCGGAATCATACTCTAACTGAGTAACACGATCATAACAAGTAATATGTTGGTCAATGGGTAATGTTGTATATTTTGATGATATTGGAATAGATGAATATTTCATTGACGTTGGCGAAAAATGTGGTACCGAATAAATAGATGAGTAACTCTCATCTGTAGCAACAAACCAACATTTATTCATCCAAAATGGATGACGATATTGATCGAGTACATTTTTATCAATTCTTACATGCGAAAAATTAAAATTATATGTCATTAATCGTGATAGATTTTTAATAATAAATATTTCCCATTGATTTGCATCATAACATTCAGGTTCGATAAAACATGAAATGATCAATTCCAATTTTCGTAAACATTTTAATGGAGCAAGAAATCCTTCGAGATGAGAACGTGTTATTGTATCACCTAGAAAGAAAAATAAAACATTTTTCAATTATTTTGTTTTATTTAAATATTTACCATATCCTTCAATTGACAATGAGAGAGATTTGAGAGCAATTATTTTCGACTGTTCTTGATGAAAATTAATTAGTATGGCCATTTCTTTTGCATCTGTAAACATTAATGAAATTTTCAATGATATAAGATGTATAGCTCGATGAAATATTTGTTTAAATTTTCTACATGAACAATTTGATAATGTTAATTGACGTAAATGTTCAAATTGAATCATAGTAATCAATGGATCAAGATCATAATGTACACCAGGTTCAATATTTATAATCAATCGTTGTAATGGTGGACTAGTTTTAATAAATGGTAATTTATCTTTGAGATTGATTTCAAGACTAACAAGATGTTTAAGTTTATATAAATCTGAAAAGAACGATGCACCATCATCATCTAGCTCAATCAGTTTTAATGATCGTAATCGTGTAAATTGTTCAATTGAAACTAAAGATCGAAATAACTGAGATTGATTGGGTGTATAACTATCATCTGATAAAACTAATGAAATAACTTGATTTGGTCGAATTTGACAAAGAAGATCAAAATGAGATTTACGAATTGATTTACCATTGATCTTGTAATTCTGATAATTCAATAGAATATTATCAATATAATCAGTGATACCACAAAATGAATGTAGAATTTCATGAGCCCAGAAATAATCGAAGATTATATGATAAATTTCACTTGGAAGTAAAGACATGTGATATGAAACGACGATTGAATAATAGATACTTCTCAGTAATCAAATAGATGACATAACGGAATAAATGATGCGGCGACTATTTATCATGCGAAGAACAATGAACGTCGGTCATTCTCATTATTATAGAAAAATAAAATAGACCGAATTGATGTGTTGTATGTATACATTTTATGAATGTTAATGATAGATAGTGATGTGTTCTCCTTCTCTCTTCTTTCTTCACACATATGGATCATTCTCTTTTCTCTTATCACTCATCATCACCTAGGAGCTGAATGACAAATATAAACTATTATCTACATTCTCAACTCATTGAAAGATTAACTTCATTGTTAAACTAGTGTTGATTTAACGATTCAAAAGATTTTATTCGTATTCTTTAAGAATTTTAAATGCATATAAGATACTTCTTTTTTATCAAGGTATCATAAAATTTTATATCAATTCTATGTAGTATATATATTGCTGCATACATTATATAGATAAAGCTTGTCAATTGCTGTACATACATTTTATTGTTGTAATTCTACAGGTATCAAACAACTCAGAAAAAAAAGAATCTGAGTGCTTCATATAGTTTTTAATGAAATAGTATTACTGTTAATTATAAAAAAATTATCTAGATAGGATCTTATTGGAAAGATGGTAAAAATAAGAAAACAAAAATAGTTATTACAATAAGTTAGAGATATTATGAGATAATTCTTTTGCAATTGATTCAAAGTTTTATATGACATATGCTGTCGTTAATTTTAAGTAGCTTATCAAAAATATCTTTTATGAATTTATTAACTGTAAATACAATAGAAAAAAAAAGAGTAGGATATATATGTAATCTTTTATTTGCAATCACGATTAAAACATTTTATTTAGTTTATATCCATCATAGTGTATGATGATTGTTCAAGGTTTAGTTTTACTATTGCTTTTGTCAATAGTACCTAGTAACAGTCTTATATGTTATGAATGTGAATGTAATCAAAGTGATACAGCTGCGTGTAATTGTGATACTACAAGTGATATAACTGATAATGATTATTGTGTTATCCTGGAACAAAGATATGTTGATACAACATATATTCAACTAAGTCGAATTCCTCGTAATTCAAGTTGGATTTATATTGAAGATCCTTATTATATTCTTACAGAAGAATCGATTAGATATAATCTAACAACTAGACAGTGGTATTTATGGACAGGTAGTATTGTATTTGGGTGTGATTGGGATCGTTGTAATGCTCCAAATCTTATCAATTCATTGCCTAATTCATTCAAGTATAATATTGATTCAACTTGGCTAGATTTAAATATTCGTGGTAGTGGTGCTGTTACTTCTTGTTATCATTGTGACACAGAAGTATGTGGTGATATAACAAATCCGAGTGATTTTAGTGAATGTAAAATCACAACTTGTGATACTAATATAACATCGGTAATATGAGCTAATAATTATTAAAAACTATTTCTTGATTATTTTTTCAAACTTTTTTTTTCTTTAGTGTTTAACCTATGACTTATGGAATAATGTTGCTACGGGTGAACAATGTTATCAGTCAGATTGTGCACCAGCATATTTGAATGGAGCAGATGCCGAAACTTATGGTGGTAAATACAGAATTGATCTTGAAGCAGTTGTTTATTTAGCACAAGATCGTTCAAAATATGATATTTGGGAATTGGATGTATATTGTGCAGTTAATAATTGTACTCGACCAACTATTTTTAAAGAAATAATAGAGCAACTTAGACTTGAAATTGGTGATTTATCGGCATTTCCACCTATTCGACCATTCCCAATAGAAACAACTACACCAATACCAAATCCTTTGAGATGCTACAGCTGTGATTGTTTTGATCAGCCAACATGTCCATGTTCATCAACCGTCGTAAGTTCACTTGATTATACTTATTGTGTTATCGTACGTGAAAATTTTGGACAAGACACTTATATTTATGCAGATTATCTTGAACGTGATGCAACATATATGTATATTGAAGAATTTCCATATGCACTTGTCGAAGAATCAATTGATTATAATGAAAAAACTGGTGTATGGTTAACTACAACAAATTTTGTTATTTATGGATGTAATTGGAATTTATGTAACAAACCAGAATATATACCGCTTTTACCAAATAGTTATCAAATGCGTCTTCCAGAAGTATGGTTAAATTCAAGTATTCTAGGTACTGGACAACCAGTTCGTGATTGTCATCAATGTCCAGATAGACCTCAATGTGGTACAATTGATTTTCTTGATGCTAATACATGTCCAATTCAATCATGTAATACTACTTGTCTTATTTTGGATACTCATGAAGATCCAGAAGGTGATTATCTATGTTATCAATCTTTTTGTCTTCCACCCGATACACAAGATTATCAATTAGATCGACATAAAGTAGAAATTGAAGGTATTATTTATGCCGGTCAACCAAATGTTGTTCACTTATGGGAAGTAGATGTTTATTGTCGAGCTGATGATTGTTCACGTCCTGGTATATTTAGAGAACTTCGTGAAAATTTAAGTGTAGTACCAGGTACTCTTGCTGCTTTATTTAATGAAACAGGTGATCCAAATATTCCACAACGTCGATGTTATGATTGCTATTGCTATGCTCGACCTAATTGTACTTGTGACAGAACGACAACCATGAGCGCAAACCAAACTTATTGTATGATTAAGCTTGAACACTATGGTCAAGATGTTTGGACTACTGTCGGACATATTGATCAAGATTCAACTCATGTACATATTCAAGAGTTTCCTTATTTACTCGTTGAAGAATCAATTTTATATGATGAACAACTCATGCGATGGAATACAATAACAAATTTTGTTATGTATGGATGTAATTATGATTTATGTAATCATCCAAGTCTTATACCATTAGTACCAAATAGCTTTCAAATGCGTCTTCCAGAAGATTGGTTAAATGCAAATGTTAAAGGTACTGGACAACCAGTTCGTAATTGTCATGAATGTCCTGAGCAAGCTCAATGTGGTACAAGTGATTTTCTTGATGCAAGTCGATGTCCAATTCGTGAATGTAATACAACATGTCTTGTTTCTGATATATTTGATAAACCAAATGATGATTTACAATGTTATCAATCTTATTGCGTTCCACGGAATGCTGATACAACTATGAATACACATCGATTGGAAATCGAAGGTTTACTAAATCTTAATAAACAACCACCTACTATTGAACTGTGGGAAGTTGATATTTATTGTCGAGCTGATGATTGTTCTCGACCAGAAATATTTACTGAAGTAAGTCATTGAATGATCATAAAATAAAAAAATGATGTAAAACTGTTAAATATTTTAGCTCAAATCTAAACTCACTGTTGCACCCGGTGATTTAGGTCCTTTTAAACCGCAAACATCAACCAGTTCACAGTCCACAAATAATCCAGCAACGACCTCACCATCTACAAATAATCCACCAACAACCGCATCATCTACAAATAATCCACCAACTACATCAACTACTCCATCAAAGGCATCACTCTTATCAGGTGCCAGTTCATTCATACCATTAGTAATAACAATTTTTCTAATAAATTTTCATAACGTTTTATAAATAAACTATCAATATAGAATGAATTTATATGATTTCTTCTACTGATAGTACTATTTTTTTTCTTTTTCAATAAATTTTCTATTCACTTAATTATTTTTTGTTGTTATATGTCTTATTATTCATTCATAAGAAAATTAATAACATATCGATGAAGAAAACAAACAAAGTACAAGAGAACTGTCTTGCATTTCATTCTTTAGTTCGATTTTATATAAAGTAACAATTGATTTAATTATTGTACAAGAAAATAACATATAGTCAGATGCATACAATTTTTTTATAAATTAATATCTTTCTTTCAAAGTATTTTCTTATTGGCTATTTAGTTATATCTGCCAATGTGCTATTAGCATATGAATGAATCTTTTAAAACTTATTAATAATAGATATATTTTATTCTTGAGATAATATCATTGAAAATGATAGCTATGAAACTTAAAAAAATTTAATTTCCAATGATGATGATAAAAATATTAAAAAAAATATAGTCATATTAGAAAATAAAACATCTATTTGTCAATGCCGTTTCTAATTTTAGATTTTTCTTACTTTTGATTTATGATGATAATCAGTTGAAGACACAAAATCACTATTATGAACACAATTTCGAGACAGATTTCTTATGATTATAATCAGATCTTACAAAATCTAGTCGTTTTCAGCATTAGATTCATTCACTTGGATAAATATGTTAAGTTATATTATATTTCAAATTGAACAACAAAATTATAACAGAAAATATTTTTTATTTTATTTTATCTATTATCTATATTTCAAGAGAATTGTTTCATACAAAGAAAGTAATAAGTTATTATTCGCTACAATTTTAAAATATATTTAATAAAAAAATTAATCAATACGTATTTCATCTTTTAAGTATATTTGAGATTATATTAAACTTAGCTAAACAATTTAGAATACAAATTATTTATATCATATGGTATTTGATACAATTTTCATTTTCATTAGATCATATTTCTTACAAATTTCAGTATAATATAAGTGAATAATACGAATGCGTATTTTCTATTTATCTAAAGTTTGTAGAGATTACTCATTGGTGTATAAAACTTCTTTTTTTTTAAGTTACATAAAAAACTGATATGCCTATAGGATGAATTTAACTTTAAGAATAGTCAGTACTATTACACAACATTATCTTCTATTCAAGAAGATTTTTTTTTGAACTATGACAGTTATATATATTTCAATCACATAGTTTATACAAACAAAAAAATGTTCGTACATCTATAATATTTTATTTAACGAATATATATTAAAAGAGAGATATTACTTAAAATATTTGAAATAATTGAAATTTATATCCTATTTTCTCCAATTTTAATCGTAAAATGTCCTTCAAATCTTTCGATGTTATGTTTTTCAATTCTTGCCGTATAAATTGTTTCTTCAATGATAAGAGCAAGAGAGAAATTCATATTGGTTAACTGAAATTATATTGGAAGCTTTGCGTATATTTATGACATATGTATATATCTGTCAAACATCTTATTTCAATAAAACATTGATAATATAAGTCTTTTACTAGTGTTACTTTTATAAGATCTTTCTTATCGATTCGGAAGTATTATATGGTCTTTTTATTGTTGATTATGATTAAGCTAAGAGAAATATCTTTACGAGCTATGTATTATAAAAAATGCCTAGTAAGCAAATAAAACATCTGTATAATCGTCTATAATCAATACATTTTGCTTTCATTTGAAATCATACAACATTCTGTTGCTTTGCAGCGCTTAACAATGATGACAAATCATTGGATATTTCTTATACTAGTACTATGGGCAGTGCCAAGTACTAGTCTTGTTTGTCAAGAATGTTTCTGTTCGTTGGCTCATATAAATGTATGCGATTGTTCTCCTACGGTTACTGCTCCAGATGGTTCTTGAGGGTGTAGGTGTGGGTGTGGGTGTGGTTGCTGATGTAGTTACTGTATTCACCGAACCCGCACATCTACACCGCACATCCACCCACACTGTCACGATGTTCGATTAGGATATGATTTTCAATATCAGATCTACTTAAACCTGCATTCCATAAGATACAAATTGATATTGTTTCTCGATTATTAAGTATAGTGTTATTGTATAGCAATGCTGGTGTTACTAAAGATACAACAAAATAAGCTGTATCATGTTTATTAGGATCGATTTCTACACTACAAAGTGATTCTGCTTCTGGTACATTTTTTAACAAAAGTCAAGTACATTGTTTAGGGTGTAGCTGTAGCTGAATAACAAATATACACCCACATCCACATCCTCAGCTCATTTAAAGATTAACTCCATTGTTAAGGTAGTATTGATTGAATTAGAAAAATAACTCTTTCAATGACAAGTTTTGATTTAACGATTGAAATCAGTTTTATTCGTATTCTTTAAGAATTTTAAATGCATATAAGATACTTCTTTTTTATCAAGGTATCATAAAATTTCATATCAATTATATGTAGTATATATATTGCTGCATACATTATATAGATAAAGCTTATCAATTGCTGTGCATACATTTTATTATTGTAATTCTACAGGTATCAAATAACTCAAAAAGAAAGAATCTTGACACTATATATAGTTTTTAATGAAATAGTATTACTATTAATTATAAAAAATTACATCGACAAAGTTTTGTTGAAAAGATGATAAAAATAAGAAAAAAAAAGTTATTACAATAAGTTAGAGATATTATAAGATAATTCTTTTACAATTGATTCAGGGTTTTTATATGATCTATGCTGTCGTTAATTTTAAGTCGCTTATCAAAAATATCTTTTATGAATTTATTAACTGTAAATACAATAGAAGAAAAAGAGTAGAATATATATATATATATAATCTTTTATTTGCAATCACGATTAAAACATTTTTTTATTTAGTTTATATCCATCATAGTACATGATGATCGTTCAAGGTTTAGTGTTACTATTGCTTTTGTCAATAGTACCTACTAATAGTCTTATATGTTATGAATGTGGATGTGATCAGAGTGATACAGCTGCGTGTGACTGTGATACCACAAGTGATATAACTGATAATGATTATTGTGTTATCCTGGAACAAAGATATGTTGGCACAACATATATTCAACTAAGTCGAATTCCTCGTAATTCAAGTTGGATTTATATTGAAGATCCTTATTATATTCTTACACATGAATCGATTAGATATAATCTAACAACTAGCCAATGGTATTTATGGACATTTATTGTTGTATATGGATGTGATTGGGATCTTTGTAATGCTCCAAATCTTATCAATTCATTGCCTAATTCATTCAAGTATAATATTAATTCAATTTGGCTAGATTTAAATATTTATGGTACTGGTGCGGTTACTTCTTGTCATCATTGTGACACAGAAGTATGTGGTAATGTGACAAATTCGAGTGATTTTATTCAATGTCAAATGGTAACTTGTGATACTAATATAACATCGGTAATATGAGCTAATGATTAAAAAAATTATTTCTTGATTATTTTTTCAAACTGTTTTTTTCTTTAGTGTTTAACCTATGACTTATGGAATAATGTTGCTACGGGTGAACAATGTTATCAATCACAATGTGCACCAGAATATTTGAATGGAGAATTTGCTGAAAGTTATGGTGGTAAATACAGAATTGATATTGAAGCAGTTGTTTATTTAGCACAAGATCGTTCAAAATATGATATTTGGGAGTTAGATGTATTTTGTGCAGTTAAGAATTGTACTCGACCAACTATTTTTCAAGAAGTATCACAACAACTTACCATGGAAATTGGTGATTTATCGGCATTTCCACCTACTCGACCATTAACAACACATGCATCTACTACAACTACACCAATACCAGATCCTTTAAGATGCTACAGCTGTGATTGTTCTGATGCGTCAACATGTCCATGTTCATCAACCGTCGTAAGTTCACTTGATTATACTTATTGTGTTATTATACGTGAACACTATGGTCAAGATGTGTGGACTTCTTTACGACATATTGATCAAAATTCAACCCGGGTGCATATTCAAGATTTTCCTTATTTACTCGTTAGAGAATCAATTTTATATGATGAACAACTCATCCAATGGAATACAACAACAAATTCTATTGTTTATGGATGTAATTATGATTTATGTAATCATCCAAGTCTTATACCATATATGTCAAATAGCTTTCAAATGTATGTTCAAGAAGATTGGTTAAATACAAATGTTAAAGGTACTGGACAACCAGTTCGTAATTGCCATGAATGTCCTGAGGAACCTCAATGTGGTACAAGTGATTTTCTTGATGCAAGTCGATGTCCTATTCGTGAATGTAATACAACATGTCTTGTTTCTGATATATTTGATAAACCAAATGATGATTTACAATGTTATCAATCATTTTGTGCTCCATCTGATTCCGAGCATTTTCATATTGATACAAATCGAGTGGATATCGAAGGTTTATTGTATCTTAATAAAGAACCATATACTGTTGAATTGTGGGAAGTTGATATTTATTGTCGAGCTGATGATTGTTCTCGGCCAGAAATATTTAGTGAAGTAAGTCATTTAATGATAATAAAATAAAAAAATGATCTAAAACTATTAAATATTTTAGCTTAAATCTAACCTCACTGTCGTTATCGGTGATTTAGGTCCTCTTGATCCACAAACATCAACAAGTTCACAGTCCACAAACAATCCATCGACAACCACTCAGTCGACGACTAATCCACCAACTACAACATCAACGGCATCACTCTTATCAGGTGATAGTTTATTTATATCATTATAGTACTTTGTTTCAAATTCAGGATAAGAATGTGTCTCGTTAATTATTTCTCCTCGATTGATTTTTTATTATTTAGTGACCATACTTTGGTGTTTGTTAGAGAACACCACCGGCTATCAAATGGTACGATAATATTAGCTAACTGTCGAATTGACTTTACAGGAGAAATAAGGAAAAACATAAGTCTAAAAAAGTGTGACATAATTGTTAAAGTTTTGAAAACTTATTTATTTAATATAGATAAAAACTGATTTGAATAGAAAATACGATCTTTATTGATCACATATACTTTTCTAGTCAATAAGTGCAGATAGTGTCCCAAATGCACTTGTTTTATATAAGTTTAATCAGTACTATTCAACTCGTCGATGTCATCATCATCTTCATCTTCTTTTTGTTCGTCTGTTTCCTCATATCTATCTATATTCTTTAAATTAATTAATTGATCGTTCCAATACGTGATTGTTTGAATTGATGTGGTTACTTCCTTTCGTTTTCGACCAGCAGCTGGTCGAAAATCACCATGACCATAACTATAATTATCATTGTCGTAATTAACATCCATTTTTCATATAGCTAAGTCAATTGAAATGATTGACCAAAACGCTGTTGATAAATGATAGCTGGAGTATGTGAGTGTGTAGTGCATTGGTCAAAATGAAATAAACACGTAGTAGTGAAATAAAAAAATCAAGATTGAGATAAGTCACATTTATAGGTAGAATTAATAATTATTTATTTTCGTCACTAGCTATCACTATTCGAAATAGCGTTAATTGTAGCTAGTGGCAGCCTCTATTATACGATAGCCGCATTAGACCGAATATATCATTAATTGATTAGAAAAAGTACGAAACAGAAAAAAATATCAAAACTGAATAAAATCAAGTTTTTATCCTGAATTTGAAACCAAAGTACTATAATACTCGGTATTGATTATTAGATTTGAGTACTGGTACTGGTGGATGCCTAAATAAGCAAGCATAGAATTTTACAATGTTTTAGCTAGAAATTCTGAAATATTTGTAAACTCTAAAGCTGCTTCATAAAACTAGACTACTTCCGAAACTGTTACCTATGATTTGAACCAAGTAGAATTTTGTTCAACACCTTTTTGGTTTAATGAACGTCACATCGATAACAACGCGATATTTCAACAAAATATTCATGGACTTCCAAGTTTCGTCAATAATATTTTCGTCGAGTAATACTTTTGCCAACATATTTATAGAAAATTCGCCAGTTTCATTATACGATTACATACGTATGAAAATTGCTCCTAGCAACCATATTAAGGGGTTTAGATTATAATAGGCTTATTCTAATAATGTTAAGTTAATTTATCACATGCGCTTTACACTAAACTTTTGCTATTACAGCTGGCGAAGAGACACTAAGCTAATATTGCTCTATATTTATGATTTAAAATAGATTTGCTATAAAATTTGTAATCAGATTTATTTAGAATTACCTGTTCAATTGAGTTACACAATCACAACCTCAGATTATATTTCTTTACCACCAAATGTCACGTCATCTATCATAAGTAACGAAAGTTATCCACAAATAGAGAAAATGGTGAGATATTCCTATTTTGTAATTCAATATTGTCGTAATTATTATTTTTTCTTAAAATTAAAGATACGGGATAGCTTGTCGAATGTATCTGATCAGATTAATGTAATAATTTATGAAGCTAAAATTGTTCAAAATATTGTACAAGTCAAATGGTAAGTGTGGGTATTGCTAATTGATTGATTGAAAAGAGTGCGTTTTTATTGATATTTGCTGTTTAAAAGGAAAAACATCAGTACACGATCATCATCAAGTTATTATCTTTATGTTAATGCGACTCTACAACTTCCACTTGAATGTCATAGTGGATCCAAATGCACGGATGATATACAAACAGCTTTAGAAGAGACACCATTAACTAACCTTACATTAATTACTGCGAACGGTACTGTTGAGATACAAGTCGAAAAGGCAACTGTGCAAGGTAATAGAGTTTTCTATATCAAAGTTTTCAACTGTCACACATTTTCTACACAAACTACAGATTTTGGAAATTAGTTTAATATCCAAAGTTCACTAGAATGTTGAGTTCGTTTTGTTGCTAGTGTTGTTCTGCAGTTTATCATTAATCATGAAAGATTCTTGATTCGTTCAAAGTGTTCAAGAACTTATATATAACGTTCTTGTGTGAAATTCTTGGCAGTGGGTGGGTGTGGGTATGGATAAAGGAGAAATCACTAACCACATCCACACCCTCAAGATAAAATCTTCGAAACTAGAGTTAAAGATCAATAATACGATCTGTCTCGAATCATTCCAAGGTCAACGAAAACTTTGGTAATAAACTCAAGGATAATAAAAATTAGTTTTCGTTCGTGCAGACTTTAAAAGCATCATTGCTTAGATGGAGAGCAAATTCTGAAGTGATATTTTTTTCAGAAAGAGTTCACTCTTTTGTTTACTTCCGAAAAATGCAGTATCAATTAGCTCGAATGAGACTGACAAGGAAACTTCTTCTATATAGTTTGCTGATAAAATGGCATTCTTCTTCTTCTTGTGCATATTCATTACTGAATGTTTGCGACCAGTTTTCTAAAAGCATTCCTGTCTAAGGCGCTGTGAAATAGTTTTTCAGTCGATGTATTGGTTCATTGAGAGATTTTCTTCAGCCATGATGTTGTTCTTCGACCGGGTCTTCTTTTTCCTGCTATTTTACCTTCAAGTATTAGTTGTAGTAGTTCATATTTGTCATGTCTCATAAAATGGCATAATATCATATAAAAATTTTGACGTTGGATTTTAGTCATGATACTTATAGTTGAGTGTCTCTTTTGCTCCCTTCGTACTTTTAGCGCATACGATACATCTATTCAACAAAAAAAACCTCTCTAACTGAGACAAGTTTGAAATATTTACACATTGGCTAGGTCAGCTCTTCACCTCCATCTCCAATAGCATGAACTAGTTCTTAACCAGGATTTTATTTGTGTGTCATAGGCTTAAAACCATTGAATCCACAAGCAAATTATATCGGTTTAATTGTTGGTATTGTTCTGGCAGTACTGAGTATATTAGTACTTGTAGGTGTAGCCAGTTACGTTATCGTACAAAAGCGTAAAGCACTGAAACTAAATAAACAATTCCACGGTGATTATAATTTACCAATCGATCAAAAATATTTGAAAAAAAAACATAGTTATGGGAGTAAAGTTTTTTCGTATGAGCTCGATGAAAGCAACCCATTTCATTGGCCATTTGCTCGGCTCGTAAAAAACTGGATGGGACCTCTCGAAAGTGATTTTGAATTAGAAACGATTGAGATCGTAGAAAATCGTGACAAATTCAATCATTTCCGTCAACAAATTGAAATTGTTGAAAGTCGTCGAATTCAACCGGTGTTTCAACCAGTGTTGGATAAAGAATCAAATCCTGAAGAACGACAAAAAGTCTTGAAACGATTAGATGGTTTATGTGAACGAGTGACACATAATAGAAAAGCAAATATTGTTCGAGTATGGCATGGTTGTAATAAACAACTATTACCCCAGCTGCTGGGCGAAGGTTTTGCGGCATTAGGTCAACTTGATGACGGTTGGTTTGGTAAAGGCATGTATTTTTCATCAAGTGCTGAGTATGCATCACGTTATTGTCCACAAAATGAAAATGCATGTCTAATAATGTGTTACGTATTAGTTTTAAATCCATTTCCCGTCATTTATGATGATGCACCAAAAGATGTTAAACCAGAAAAATTTCGGTTTTATGGGAGTGGTAATTATCGTACTTACCAATGTCATTATATACCAGTTGCTCCGGCTTCTGATAGAAAACCTACAATGAATTTTCGTCCACCACTAGAGGGTACAGATCATGCGGACTATGATGAATTAGTTGTTTTTGAAAGTGCACATATATTACCACAAATTGTTGTTCATCTGAAAGCGCCGAGACCTCTGTCACCGAAAATACAATCCGTTCCGGCTCCTATGAATGCACCTACATTATATGAAAGTAAACATTGTAATCAAAATCTTCCGTCATCCTATCAACAACAATCTAATACATCTC